CAGCAGTTCGGACACATCATTAGCCATTTGGCATGACATTATTTGCTTTCCAGTGCAACTTATTTACTCTTTAAATCTACCCTCCTATATAAATTAAATCAAAGGTATCAAACCATGATATCCATAGCCACACCATATTTCCACAAGCATGCATATTAAACTTGAAATAACTAATAAAATCCCAAGATATCTCAATGAGTGTACTGGACACAGGCTATACAAATGTGGCTCGATGAACTTTCTAATTTTGACGGTGTCTCTCAAATGACAATGAAAATGAAACATTCGATTTTTAATATAACCATTCTATGAATATCTTCCGCTTCTTTTTGAATTGAAATGAAATGGTTTATTACTTGATAAATTCCTCATTTTTCCCCCTTTAAAATTTATGCCCTTTCGATGACTATTTGAACTTGTTAGACAGGCTTTATCCACTATATCATTTTTTTTCATTTTCATTCATATCAGATTGCCTCCTTGTGATTCGTATGGCCTGCCTCCTTCTGGCCGTTTTCGCCTTCCACTCAGAACCATCGAATTCCTCTCAAGTCCCTACTTTCAGCACCTCTTCATTTATTTCCAGCCCTGTTAACAAACCCAGTAGTACTCGCCCAACTTTGTCACCTCGGACACGCAGAAATTGCTGCACTCCGGCACCCTCAATTCAAGCAACTTCGACAGCCTCGGCTCTCCTCAGTCAATTTCGTCTACCTCGTGGTCTCCGTCACTTGGCCGAGATGGTGCGTCAATTGGCTTGCCAACTTTATGTGCTTCGGTTCCGTCTGCCTCCATCTGATCTCCTTTGGCAATCTGTTTCAGTTTCTGTTGATCAGGACGCATTGCCATTGGAAATCGATAAAAATGGAATGTCAATGCCGCTGACCACCAAGCCATCGACTCCTACTACCAACAGTGGATCCGAAACAACAATATCCGTGGGTCCAGCAACGACCAGAGCGATGGGTAACGCCGTTCGGGCAAGAGATGCACCTTCTCGAGGGAAAGAATGTGTGGATGATTCGAAGGCAGTTTCCTGGCGACTTTTGTATCCGATTGAGGGCTGCCGAGTTTGTGGATCAGATGGTAGGACTCAAGATTTTTGGGATGTATTTTTGAGTAACAAGGACTAGTTGTTAGGGCTTATTCTCTACAGAATTGTCTAAGATGCGGATAGTATCTGAGTTTCGATCAACTCGTGAGATACTATTATTGTGTAGACTTTCATTTCGTATGAAAGTACATGATGAAGGGATTCGTTGATTGATTCTACCCGAGGACAGTGGCTGTTCCACGTTGTTTTGCAACTGTTTGGCCTACATACAGCGTTTATGTTGGCACAGTCCATTAGAAATGCCCTCTTAAATGGCGTAGGATATCTCATAGGCTCCGTTTTCCTAAACGTCGTATTTAGGTCAAACTGATGCAGAACAATGGGGATTAGCATTTATTTTAATTAAGATAAACCAACGAATCTCTTTATTATAGGTAATGCAGGCCTCCGAAAAGATTTTTTTGCATTTCGACCGGTCTTGTCATATTTAGACTTTCTTTTATATGGAGAGTCAAATTACTAGGATGATGAGGTTCAACAGTTAATTGAATACACATTTTATTTTCTCACTTTGCAGACTACTGGGATACTTTTTAAATTTTCAATGAATACATCAATATTTCCAGATTTTTCGAAGATTTTATTTCAACATGTTCCTTCTGACTATTTACTCGCCTTTTGGTCTTTTCTTGCTTTAACAATATACTCAATTATCTAATTTTTCGTATTTTAAGCGGAGTATCGTGACTACCAGTAAATCAGTAATATCAGATGTATTCATCCAATTTTGTTTAAGGTGATGAAGGACTGGTAGAAGAATTTTACCACAATGATATGAGTAGAGCTGATGTTTCCATTGCATTTCACATGGCCTTGCTTTCCAGAAGGTTGTTTTCATCCATGGTGGACTACAGTTTCGACCTCGAATCGATCTTATCAACAACCCCAGTGGAAATCGAATCGTGACAGTGGAGAATGGGAGCTTGACACGTTAATTATTCGGCCACATTGCCACGAGTGACCTTGGGTCACAGGGCAAATGTGAAATTCAAGGAGGGCCAGGCCTTTTGCCATATCCTATTATTTGGTGGGAGTGTCAATGAAGCAAAAGTATATTTGCTATTTTTCGTATTTTAAGTGGAGTTTCGAGTCAAGCTCCCATTCCGCACTATCACGGTTCCAATCCCACTGGGGGTTTTGATAAGACCGATGCGAGATCGAAACTGCAGTCCACTCCAGACGAGATGAGAATAACTTTTAGGAAAGCAAGGCTATGTGAAATTCAATGGAAACGTCAGCTCTACTCATATCATTGTGCGAAAATTCTACTACCAGACCTTCATTACCTTAAACGAAATTGGATGAATACATCTCAATATTTTTACATTTATACTTCCATAGTTCACAAGCGATATCGATCCACCATTCTTAACATCTTTTTTTACTCTTAAAGTATGATGAATGAGTTTACTATTGTTGATAGCGCGACAGTGGAAAAAATTTACTTTTATGGCATCTATTCGCCATATTTCAGTCTTATACAGGAAATCATCATGAACTTTGAGGCATAGGACCTTGTTTTCACAACTTGGTCATATTGGCAGGAAGACCTGGTGCTTAGAATGGCAAGCCTCACTGAAGATGCCGGCAAACGTCTAAGAGTGCTCCAAGTCCACGGTTCGACCCTGGAACTTATCATGCATACTATGGACTTGGGACAAGGTGTGTTCATCTAGGTCTTCCTACCAATATGACCAAGTTGCGAAAACTATATTAAACAATTAATATAAAAAGAAAGGAAACTGGGACCAAGATAGAGGTCACAAAATCTATGACTTCGTATTTACGTTTAAAATAATTCTAGATTCACGAATCCATCGATGCCGAATGAGCTTGTATTTTCACACAGAGTTGTTTATCCATTATAATATTGATGCCCATTTTATATTAGAAACAGCTAAATGGAATATTTAAGGTGCCAAATTCAACAAATAACAAATTTCCCAAGCTTATTTCGAACTTGCTTAACCTTGTTTTTGTAGCTTGGTCATATTCGTAGGAAGACCAAGAGTAACGCACCTAGTCAGGAGTCCATAGTATGCATGATAATTTCCAGAGTCTCACTGTTGACGTGGTACATTCCCAGACGTTTAGCTGGCATCGTCACTGACCATTGTCAGGCTTAGGACCACACTACAACTCTTCAAAATAAACAAATGAAGACCATTCTTTGACCAGATGTCTGCTAAATAATTATAGTATCCCTCCTGCCCCGGGCTGTTCACTAATCCTATATCCTCTTATCACAACTTCGATATAACAATTTCTTATTTAACTGTTGCATGTTGTGCCTTTTTTATCGAATTTCATGAGAACTCTTACAATCTCACGTTTTCTTTTTTACCCATTCATCCCGCAATCCTCTTCAAATAGGCAATATCAAAGTCTCCCTCTTTCCCCACAGGATACACTTCCTACATTCCTCGTTCCCCTATTTCACTTGACCACTGCCACCCTATCTGTACCACTCGAAGCGTTATTTTTCACACTTCCTCAAGCTTTTGATGACATGTATACTCCTGCCTCGCAGAGTAGTCCGACAAAGTCTATATTCACAAGCTGGATGGGAGACTAACTTGAGGTTAAAGAGCCTGAGTAATTCTCATGATCGAGCATTTGCTTTATAGACCACGCCTATGATCAAACACGTTTATTGTTAGCCAAATAGGTATAGTCTCCACTGCGTCAATTCTGTGTCTATCCGTAATATCAAAACAAGTAGAACCACAACATTAGTGGGTTGACACACAGGAAATTAGGGCATATGAAGTCATAGATCAGATATTAAGGATATAAACAGTATAGATGCGGTGGAGTCTAGAGTTAGTTGGCTACTAGTAGACGTGTTTGATCATTGAAGTGGTCCATGGAGCAAGGGCTTGGCCATGATAATTACTCGGGCTCTTTAACCTGAAGTTCATCTCCAATCTAGTTTAAGAATTCCTAAGTTTGCGGGCATACTCAGCGAAGCGGGAGTATGCGTGCCATCAAAGGCTTGGGACTGTGGGAGATAACGCTTCAAGTATTATAGATAGGGTGGCAGAAGTCGAGTGAAATACCTGATCCAGGAAGGTAGGCGGCGAATCCTACTGGGCAAGAGGTAGACTGATAAGACCGAGGCGCTTGAAATACTTATCAAATAGTAAGTGAGGATCAAACCATGAAGATCAACAGGATACAGGAGAATATGCTTAAGGAAATACATAATAACGGAGAAATTGAGAGATGGATGCTGAAATCTTTAATAAAAAATGTCGCCTACGGACTACCGAATATACATAAAAAAGGAACTCCGATAAGATTAAGAGTCAACAACAAGCATGGAGCAACACAAACACTAACGAAACTCATTTGTTTAAAGCTTAAGAAAGTAGATGACAGACTTTTGAATACCGTGAAAAGTTCATATGAATTTTCCCAAACGCTCCAAAATAGTAGATTAGCAGGCACGGAAATATTGGTAAGTTTTGAGGTGCAATCAATGTACACAAACATCTCATGTTAGAAGGCGGTAATCGCCTTGCTAGAGATATTAGAGCGAAACGAGGATAACCCGGATTCAGACCGGATACGGAGGGAGTCGTTAAAACGACTGATCAATTTTACAGTAAGTACTGCTTATTTTAGATTTAACGAAAGTATCTACAAGCAAATATTTGGTCTTTTGATAGGATCTCCACTTTCACCTCTTTTGGCTAATTGAAAAAGGAATTTGAAAAGTCACCACTGCAACTGAGAGTGCTTATGCGATACTTGTATGACTACTTTTTACTTAAATGAATTCCTCAATTTCATTAACAAATTTTACGAAAGAATTTTATTCGCAATAGAGTTGGAGGAGGATTAATGACTACCTTTTCTGGATTTTAAAGTCATGTGCTCTAACGGGACACTAGTGAGAAGACTAAGCAAACAGTATTCATATGCGGGAATAATCCTTAATTTTCAGTCTCATCATAACTACATGCTGAAGATAGGAATACTGAGGAGTTTGATCATCTAAAGCTTACGACTAACGACACTGAGTTCTGGGACGAGGAGTTGGACAAACTGACATGGATTTGCCTTAGTAATGGGCATTTCAGAGAATTTATAGAAAAAATGAATGGGTTATAAAGGGCAGATTCTAACCCGGATTTTATGGAAATCCTATCAGGAATCAGGAGGACAAACAAAAGTAGATATGCCTGTCCTCGTGTGAACTGAGCTAAAAATCGCTACCATTACTAAGAAAATGGAATATCTAGGTGATAACAAAGGAGAAGACAGCACTTTCACCAGCCTGCCGGCGCACCACGAGAAGACTTACAAACTGGATTTCTTGGGAGT